TGTTAGCCATCTGTATGTCTTCTTTGGAGAAATGTCTGTTTAGATCTTTTTCCCGCTTTTTGATTGGGTTGTTTGTTTTTCTGGCATTGAGTTGCATGAGCTGCTTGTATATTTTGGAAATTAATCCTTTGTCAGTTGTTCCATTTGCTATTATTTTCTCCCATTCTGAGGGTTGTCTTTCAAACCTTTCCCTCTTTTATTTCATGCCACATTTCTTTCAGAAAAATTTAAGAACTAGAATATATATATTGAGTGTTATTATTCTAAGGTCTTCACACATATGAGCTCATTTAATCCCGAAGGCAACCTTTTATTATCCACATTTTAAAGATGGAGAAACAGAGGCACAGAGAACTGAGAAAACTTACCTAATGTCATGTAGCTATTAACTGATGGGTCTGAGAATTCAAACCTAGGTTGTGTGGCATCAGAGTCCATATTCTTAACCACTAAGCTTTGAGCTCAACTAAAAGCAGATAGATGCTTATTCATCTCTCTACCACCAAACTACAAATCCATGGCATTTGAATCCATACTCTCTGTTCTCCCTCTTGTTGCTATGGATGAAGTATCCCTGTTCCTGATTTTACTGGTGAATTTCACCAAACATTCAAAGAAAAATTAATGCCAATCTTTCTCAACCCTTCAAAAAGAACTAAACAGAAGGGAATACTCCAAGACTCATTTTACAAGGCCAGCATTATATTACTAAAACCAAAGCCAGAACCACAACAAGAAAACAAAAAAACTACAGGTCAAGATCCCCCTGAATATAGATGCAAAAATTCTCAACAAAATACTAGCAGATCAAATTCAACTGTATGATTCAAACAATCATACACAGTAATCTGGTAAGATTCATCTCTGGGATGCAAGGATGGTTCAACACGTAAATTAATAAGCATGACATATTACATTAATACAATGAAAAATAAAAATTATAAGATCATCACAATAAATGATTTTTTCCTAAAGCATTTGACAAGGTTCAATATCCATTCATCATAAGAACTCTCAACAAATTCGGTATAGAAGGAATAGACTGCAACATAGTAGAGGCCATGTATGACAAACCCACAGCTAACATCTTCCCACATGGTGAAAACTTGAAAGGTTTTACTCAGGGGTTAGGAACAAGACAAGGGAAGGGCACCCAATCTCATCACTCCTATGCAACATAGTACTGGAAGTCTTAGCCAGAGAAATCAGGCAAGTAAAAGGCACCCAAATCAGAAAGGAAGAAGTAAAAATTTCTGTTTGCAGATGACATGATTTTATTTACAGAAAATCCTAGACTCCACAAAAAAGGTTACATATTATCACCAAATTCAGTAAAGTTACAGGATACAAATAAATATGCAAAAATCAGTAATGTTTCTATTTGTTGTTGCTTTTAGGCACTAAATCATGTCTGACTCTTTGCAACCCCATGGACTGTAGCCCACCAGGCACCTCTGTCCATGGGATTTTCCAGGCAAGAAAACTGCAGTGGATTGCCATTTCCTTCTCCAGGGGATCTTTCCGACCCAGGGATAGTACCTACGTCTCCTGCACTTAAGCATATTCTTTACTTCTGAGCCACTGGGGAAGCCCCAATGTTTCTCTACACTAACAATAAATTATATGCAAAAAAGACAGTCCCATTTACAATAGTATTACCAAATGAGGTTTGTTTGCTTGACTGAAAGCTAAAGTAAAACACAAAGCTTTGCAGTAAAGAAAGAGTTTGTTCACAAGGCAGCCAAGCAAGGAGACAGGAGAACAAATTTCAGATCTGTCTCCCTGAAGGGGACAGGTCTGTGATGTTTATGGGATAAAGAGGCAGGGTGATTTTAGGTGTGAGGAAATGTGATTGGAGGTAAGGAAAAGGTGAGGTAATCAGTGTTTTGAGCAGGCCCAGTTTTAGGGTCAGCGGTCCCCACTAGTCTTAGCCAGTCGGAACTGGGCAAGAATCAACTCCAGATTTCTGGAAAACAACTTAATCTCCTGTTACCATAGTGATCCATATGTCAGAAGTGTTATCTATAGGAGTGTTAAGAAGTGTGTGGTGGGATTTCCCTGGGGGTCCAGTGGTAAAGAATGCACCTGCCAATGCAGGAGACATGGTTCAATCCCTGACCTGGGAAGAGTCCACCTGCCTCTGGGCAGCTAAGCTTGGGTACCACAACTGCTGAGTCCATGAGCTGCAACTACTGGTCTGCACACTCTGGAGCCCACGATCTGCAACAAAAGAAGCCACCGCAATGAGAAGCCCACACACCGCAAACAGAGAAAGCCTGTAGGCAGCAACAAAGACCCAGCACAGTCATAAATAAACAAAAATGTTTTAAAAAGAGAAGAAGTGTGGTGATATATTACCTAGGCTATGTTAACCTTGGAGGGTATGCAATTAAAGAAAGGGAAAAATAAACAAACTGAAAGCAGACCTGATCAGCGAAGGCAGGTTATAAACTGCTGTTCTGTAAGACACACTCAAGGTCTTCTATTTAGGCTCCAGCTTCTGTTGACCCTGCTGCTGCTGCTGCTAAGTCTCTTCAGTCGTGTCCGACTCTGTGCAACCCCATAGACGGCAGCCCACCAGGCTCCCCCGTCCCTGGGATTCTCCAGGCAAGAACACTGGAGTGGGTTGCCATTTCCTTCTCCAATGCATGAAAGTGAAAATTGAAAGTGAAGTCGCTCAGTCATGTCTGACTCCTAGCAACCCCATGGACTGCAGCCTACCAGGCTCCTCCATCTAGGTGATTTTTGAGGCAAGAGTACTGGAGTGGGTTGCCATTTCCTTCTCCATCTGTTAACCCTATGGGACATCATTTCAGTAGCAACAAAAACAATAAAATACTTAAAAATAAATCTAAACAAGGAGGTAAAAGATCTGTATACTACACATTATAAAACATAAATGAAAGAAACTGGAAAAGGAATGGATAAATAGGAAGATGTTTTGTGTTCATGAATTAGAAGAATTAATACTGTCAAAATGTTCATATACCCAAAGCCTCTTACAGATTCAGTGAAATTCCTCTCAAGATTTCAGTGGCGTTTTTTGCAGAGATAGAAAAAAAAAATCCTAAAATTCATTTGGAACCACAAAAGAGTCTGAAAAGCCAATGCAATCCTGAGAAAGAATCACATGGCTAGAGGCATCCCACGTCCTGGTTTCAAACTATATCACAAAGCTATAGTAATCAAAAGAGTATGACACTGCCATAAAAACAGATGTATAGGCCAATGGAACAGAATCAAATGTACAGAAATAAACACATGTATATACAATCACATATATATTTGACATGAGAGCCAAGAATGCTCATTCATTAAGGAAAAGGTAGTCTTTGCAACAAATAGTGCCAATTCATATGAAGAAGAATAAAACTAGACCCTTATTTTAAACCATTTACAACAATTAACTCAAGATCAGTTAGAGACTTAATTGTAAGACCTGAAACCATAAAACTCCTAGAAGAAGACATATAGAAAGCTTCTTGAAATCAGCCTGGGCAATGATTTTTTTGGATATGACACCTAAAGCACAAAGCATCAAAAGCAAAAATAAGCAAGAGGGACTACATGAAACTAAAAGTTGGTCAAAAGGCTAAAAGTTCTAGTTATGAGATAAATAAGTTCTAGGAATGTAGTGTGAAGCATGGTTACTATAGTTATAATACTGTATTATATATTTGAGAGTTGCTAAGAGAGTAGATCTTAAAAATTCTTATCACAAGAAAAAAAATTTTGAGGTGAGGTGATGAGTTAACTAAATGTAGTGTAGTAATCATTTCACAATATACACATGCATATCTTTGGGGGTTTTTTTGGCCACACTACACAGCACATGGGATCTTAGCTTCCCTTCCAGGGATCCTCGAACTCACGCCACCTGCATTGGGAGTGTGGCATTAACCACTGTTCCACCAGGGAAATTCCCAAATCATGCACATCTTAAATTCATACAATGTTGTATGTCAGTTATATCTCAATGAAACAGAAAAGGATATCAAGCATAAATAATTTGATCTTTAGATCTTCACCCAACTTGATTAGCTAGTAAGTAGGTTCTCTTGTCTAGCTCCTTCAGTAATATTCTTTTTTTCCTAGAGCTTCTGTTATCAACAAATAGGAGGGATTCACAGCACAATACCTGAATAAACAAAACACCTTTACACCCCTAAAATAAAAAATTTAAAAATTAAAGACAAAGAAAACCTCTCCCTTGACATCACAGCCACTTCTAGGCAATGCCCTGCTTCTTAGTTGCCTTTTTCTTATCCTTCACATCTCAATGCCCTTTCCTGGGATGCCTTACACAACCACTCAATTATATACTTTATAAGTAGCTACCCATTGTCTTCCTATTACATCCACTTATTTAAATTCTCCACAAGGCATTCATCACTATTAGATATTTTTCATGTTTACTTGTTTTGTGTTTGCTTTCCATCACAGAATTTAAGTGTGCTTAACTCTTAGGAAGGAATCTGTTTGTCTCCTTCAGTGTTGCATTGCCAGGATCTCAAAGATTGTCTCAATATACTAGGACAATACTTCCATTGTCATTATAGGCTCTAAGAAATCTGCTCTTACTTCTCTGACCTTGTCTCCAACTCCCTTCTCCTTGCTCACTACTCTACTTACAAAGAACAACTTGCTGTTCTTTTGCCAGCCTCCCTCCTCTTTCTTCAGGTCTTTGCTCAACAGTTACCTTCTCACTCAGGCCTTTGGGAACTTAAAATTGCAGCCCCTTACCCTTTGCCTCTTTACTTGCTTAATTTTTCTCCAAATTACCAAATTGTAATATACTATATAATTTACTATTTTTTATTGCCTGTTCGCCTCATGAAGTCTGCTGAACCCCCAAGCCTGAGTATCTAGCACAAAACAAAAAATATTTATTAAATGAATGGGTTTGTGAAATAATTGCTTAAATGAATATCAGATGTGAAATTATTTGAATGTGTAAGATATCATTATGGGCAGTAAAATTATCTATGTTAATAAGTAACCTTAACTTCAGTATTCATGCTTGAATTCTTCACATTTCGGGCACGGAGTCCTACACACAACAGACTCCGAAAGAAAATCGTGGTTGTTTTTTCAGTTTTATAGCTGGAGGCGTGGGTCCGCGAGTCCACCCAGGCGGGAAGCAGTTGCTGGCCCCGCCCTGGGCCCGCCCCTGTCGGCGATGACCACGCCCACCGAATGTTGAAAGCCTTATAGGCGAGTGACGTCAGGCCGTTTGTTGTCATTGGCGGCTCCCAAGATGGCGTCCATCATGGAAGGGCCGCTGAGTAAATGGACTAACGTAATGAAGGGCTGGCAGTACCGTTGGTTCGTGCTGGACTACAATGCAGGGCTGCTCTCCTACTACACAGTAAGTGCTTGGAGGCAAAGCCCCGGCTGCCCTGGGAGTCGCGATTCCTGGGTGGAGGTGGGGGCCAGGCTTTTTGGTAGCCCGGCAGAGGTTGCTAGGATGGGGGTGCCGCCGTACGGGAGGGTTCCCTCGTAGGGGAGGGTTTTGCGCCCCGGATAGCCAATGAGGGTGAAGGAGATGCTCGTGCAGCCAATAAGTAGGCACCGGTTGTATGATTTATGGGGTGGGGGCGAGCCGTGTTCCTTTCTTAGGGTCCGGTGTTTGTTGGGGGGTAAAGGGGGGCGCGGTTGTAGGTAGGTGCATGATTGTAGTCGTGGCTTGAAGGGTTCGGTCTCGGGGTCCGTGCAGTTTCCACATGTTAATCATGGACTTGACAGTGTCCCCCACCAGGCCCTGTAGACGGCCGCGCCCCTTAGCTTCCCTCCAGGGATTGAGGAGCGCTGCTTTCTTAGAGCAGTGGTCCGACGAGCTTGGCCAGGTCCTGAAGTGGCTGGCTCTTGCTCAACATGAAGGGTCCTGAAATTCCTCCAGTCTGCCCAAGTTGAGTCTCTTTCACAGGACTCTCGTCCATTCAGCGGGGGGCGAGCGTCACCGATGCCTTAACTTTTGAGAGCGGAGGATTTCATACACAGGAGCCTCTTGTTAGCGAAGAGAGACTGGATAGTGCGATGTCTCCTGAAAGTTATATTCTGGGAAGGGCTGAGTTAAGGGCTTCAGTGTCGTTAAACACAAATCAGTGACTGTGGGAAAGGTCCATGAATTGCTGAGAATCTTATGTTCTGACTCTCGCTCCACCCCCGACGCGTTAGAAATGGAAGGTGGGTGGAATTAGAGAAATTACTTCCAAAGGTACTGTCTCTGAATGGTGTCTAGTTAGTAACAGCCAATAAGAGGGAGGAAACCTCTTCAAACGACAAAATAGAATGTCCTGAAACATTTAGAAAATAATAGAAGACAGAAGGGAAAAAATTATGATTATGAAAGAAGGATTAATGTCAACGAGAGGAATGGGAACACTAGTATTGATATTTTTTCGTTAATTTAAATATTTATTGAGCGTCCACTACGTGTTAATTATTACTGCTTTAGGCTAGGTGTGTGTGGGTGTGTGTGCTCATGCGTGTGCATGTGAGCGAGAATCAACAAAGTTCAAGATATTCACTATTCCTTTTCTCTGGAGCTTAGATTCTAATCAGGTGGTTCCCTTGATTCTTTTTACTCACAGTAACTGCAGAATAAAGTATTCATTATCCCCATTTTACAGTTTTGGAATCTGAGGCTCCAGGCTTTTCAGCGATTTGCTAAAGGTCACAGAGCTAGCAGTAAGCAGTGTTATCAGGAGTCTAAATAACCTGGCTTTCTTTTTCCTTTACACTTCACTTTCACTACAGGAATGAGAAAAATGCAATCTTTGAGTTACTAAAGACAAACCTACAAGAGTAAAAAGTAAAAACTTTCAACACCAACTTCCTTTCTTTACATGATTTTGAAGGCGGAAAAGACTAAACAAACCTGAATGAAATTTAAATACATTGTTAAAGATTAGTTAGCTATGAAAGAGAGGCAAATGAACATTATATCCTGAAAACTCTGGAATTATGAAATCTCATAGTTCAGATAGATGGAGAGTAATAAGAAGTTTCAGTAGAAGTGATAATCAGAAAGTCCCACGGACCCTTTCCAGCCCATTCAAGGTAATTTCAGTGGCACTGTGGAATGAAGTTACTCTACAAATCCCAAATTTGTGTGGGTCTGAATTTAGGGCCACACTGGAGGGGTCCCAAGCTGGGGTTCTTGGGAACTCCTCTCTCAGACAGAATCTTCTTTTTTTCCTGTTTTTCTCACTTTGGCTTATCTTTTTTCTGCCTCCTTGCTCTTTTAGTTTCTGAATATCTTGACAAATTTCTCCTTGTCTTTGGCTAAATATGGCTTTTTACATTATGCTTCTTTCTTCTCCCTCCCATTACTTATCCTCCCTTCTAAGATTAAACTGTAAAACATCATGCTTGCCAGTAGAAGGAGGTATCATATTTCTCACTAATGGATGCTTAGAAATTTTCTTTTCTTTTTTTCCCTTGTTTTTTGGTGTTAAAATATTTGTTTGCAGAGAAACAACAGAAAAATATTATAAAATAAAATGATCTTGTGAAAATAAGGTGATACTCAATGCCAAATTAAAGGAGGTCCAGTAAAGATGAGTAAAGGATAAGTATTCACTTAAAGAGAAAGTAGAAGACACATTGAATATTGGCAATGAATTCTGTACACTTGGACATTGTTTCAGTACATTAGGATTTGGAAGGATGAAGGTACATCTTAATGATCTGCATGCGGCTGATAACTTGGAGCTGCATCTTCCAGGAAGATTATCTGAATAGTTGCACAGCATTTTAAGCAGAGCGGTAAATGGCAAGTCATTCCATTCCGTGTTTCCAAAATCATTTGCGCTCTGGTCTGGCTCTGTAGTTGAGGTCTGTCTATTCTAGGGTGGCCATGAAGACCCTGAACTAAACTAGATTGACCTTGCTTTAGATTTGGCCTATGCCAAAAATTGATACTGAGATAATCTCAGGGTTTTGGAAAAGATCACAGGAATTGCTGTGAACTAAATAGTTTGACCCAAACCTTACCTTCACCTGGATCTTTTGGTCCTGGGCCAAGACCCTAACCTGTCCTCTGGGAATGAATAGTCTTTTTATTTTACATTTCTTTTATTTTCATATTATGTGAATTTTCAGTTCTTGAAAAACTGTTTAGTAGATATTCTGTCTAATACAAGTACAGAGAAATTGATTACCTTCTTTAGAAAATAGATTTAGGCAACCTTTTCAGGTCATGCTTCTGTCTTTTAATTATTAGAAACAGTGGTTTATTCAGGAAGCATTTATTTGGGACTTTTTAATAGGCACTTTATATATGGACTTCCCTCATAGCTCAGTTGGTAAAGAATCTGCCTGGAATTCAGGAGACCCCCATTTGATTCCTGGGTCAGGAAGATCCGCTGGAGAAGGGAAAGTTTACCCACTCCAGTATTCTGACCTGGAGAATTCCTTGGAGTGTATAGTCCATGGAGATGCAAATAGTCGGACACAACTGAGCAACTTTCATTTTCACTTTACTATATATGCTGGAGATAAAAGCATGAAGGAGAGAGTCCCTTTCATCTAGGAACTCAAAATCTTGCAGAGTAGACACCTAAACATAATTTCAAAAAAGTATGATAAATTCTACAATAGAAATAAGAATAGACTGCTGTGGGAACATTGCCTAAAAAAGGCTAGAGAGACATTTGAGCTGAGACTTAAGGTAGAAGACAAGAAGGGCATTTCAGGCAGTGGGAAATATGCACAAATTGGGAAACCTGAGAACATAAAGTCCATTAAGAAGATACCGAGAATTTCTGAGTTTTTTTAATGTAAAGGCATGTAGGGAGATAACAGGAGATTGAATCCAGAAGGTATTTGGAGCCATAAGTCAGGCCTGGAGATGAAGATCTGTTAGATTATAGCATAGAATTTGTTAGTTGAATTTGGGGGTGAGCTGTACTGAGTCTTCTTGTGGCACATGGGTTCTTTGTTGTTGCTCACGGGCTTTTCTCTAATTATGGTGTGTGCGCTTCTCATTGTGGTGACTTCTTGTTGCGTACACAGGCTGTAGGGCACAAGGCCGTCAGTGGTTGTGGCACATGAACTTAGTTGCCCCCGGGCATGTGGAATCTTAGTTTCTGGACCAGGTAGCAAACCAGTGTCCCTTGCATTGGCAGGTGGATTCTTAACCATTGGACCATCAGGGAAGTCCCCTGTTAGTTGAATTTTTATTAATTGAGATACCCAGGGAGGGATAAGGATATAAATTTGGGAACACTGTGTAAACAGCTAACCATTTATTTGAATCATGATCACAGAGAAAGAAAGGAAAGAAAATTGAGGGAGATACAGATATGCAAGGAGTTGGAAGACTAGAAAGCAGGTGTTCATACCTTTTGATGATCAAATGTTTATTGAGTATGTACTATGTGCTAGGCACTGTGCTGGGAAGAGGGGTTAAAACTGTAAATAAGTTGGGAGTAGTCCATGTTCTCATGATGCCTAGAGTCTGCCGGGGTATACATCAAGTAAGAGCTGTGATGGGGAAGAATAGGATGTTGGCAGGTACACAGGTGGGCAGCTTGCCTCTGTCTTGGAGTATCAGAAAAGGTTTCCTTGAGGAAGTAGGTTTGCTTTGACCTGAATGGTGAGTAGAGAATAGTCATGTAAGCGGAGAGGGAAAACTGCTTGAGATAGAGGGAATAGATGTTTTTGAAAGAGACAAGGAAAAAAAAAAGAAAGAGACAAGAGTAAGGAGCTTGTTAGTCCTGGAATTTAGGCTGTGAGGTGGACAATAGTGCGATGAGAGGGAGAGAGAAGCAGGGGCCAGATAATGAAAGACTTTCTTGGTAGACTGAGATAAGGAATTTGAACTTTTCACTCAGGGCAGTGGAAAGTCAGTTAAGTGTTGTAAGCACTGTTTGTTGTGGAAAAAAGTTTCATGATACAAAATTTGTTTGAAACATATATGAAAGATGATAGTAAAATGAATTCCTGTCACCCAGCTTGTGCAGCTATCAATATATGGCTAATCATGTCTTATTAATACTCCCAAAGCTCCTTCCTACCCCACTGGATTACTTTAAAGCAGATCCAAAATCTCTTATTATTTCATTTGTGAATATTTCAATATGTTTTACAGTGTTTAATTTCCTTGATTTTTCTCAAACATCTGTCCCTCACCAGTTGGTTTGTTTGAGTCAGGATTCCAAACAAGATCCACACGTAAAACTGAGTCTCTTTTACTCTGTATGTCTTCCCTCCCTCTTTTTCTTTGCCACTCATTTGTTGAAGAAAGCAAATTATTCTGTAGATTTTCCACATTCTGGATTTTGCTGACAATATTCTTGTGGTGTATTTAAACATGTTCCTTTATCCTCCATGTTTCCTATAAACTGATTAGAGCTAGAAGCT